CGGTCCAGAGCAACACACTTGGGTAAGTCTTGGGCTTGGGTATTGGGCCTGAATCTTTATTGTGTTATTGGGCAATGGCTGAAACTTATTCAGCAATGGGCTGAGCCCTTTTCTTTTCATCATAGCCCCAAAAAAATAGTTAGAAAACTAATGTCACAAATGGCATCACAATTCCAACACTTTTCCTTTAGTTTCATAAAAGTCGTGCTCTCTAGTTTCTCGCAGCCTATCAAAGTCTCAAAATTTCCCTCATTAAGTTATATTTGCTTATTCATATTCCTTCAAATTTTGTTTAATATTCTAACTTATTGAGTAAATTTCACTACACCAAAAACGATCATTTGCAACACTTAAAAGGCAACATTTGTTGATAAATGTTGTTAAAAGGGTCTTTTGACAACATTTTAGTAAGTAAATGTTGCAATTAGTAAATGTAATTGAGTTTTGACAACATTTTAAAAATGAATTTTGCTAATGTCACTTTTTGCATCATTTATTGATTGTTGCGAAAAGTTTACCTTTTTGCAACATAAAAGTTTTAATAGGTCATCTTTTTGCAACGTTTATTAAATGTTATGAAAAGTCTCTTTCTGCAATATTTAATGAATGTTGGAAGGTAAACTTACGCAACGTTATTGAAATGTTTCAAATTACTTTTGTAGACTAACTTTCCGCAATGTTTTTAAGTATTGTTAATGTGTGCTTTTCGCAACGTTTTTTAAACGTTGCCAACTTTTTGAATTTGCAACGTTTAATAAACATTTAAACGTTGCGAAAAATGAACAGAAATTAAGTTATATATGGGCTTAAATTGAAGAAATCCAAATTAATCCAAACCCTAAATTCTCTTGCCATCCCCCCTTTCGTGATTCTCTCGCCTGCTGGCCGTCGAGGATTTGACACCATTGTCTCAGGCTCTGATCCTGCCGGAGCCTACTCGATCCATGCTCGATGTCAACCGAGCTTCTAAGAACACCATGTCTTCCCTCTGCGGTGGCGATTCCCACCCTTCCTCCACCTTCAAGCCATTTTCAAACAATCATAATTATAAAAATGCGCCCTCCGCACAGGACCACGTCATGGAGGAGCCGGAGACGGAAGACGCGTACCCAACCCAAGAAGGATCCGACCCGAAGAAATTCAGGAGGATGGAGCCTGAGGAGGCTGACTCTGTTACTCAAATAGCCACCACCGACAACTGTACGAATGACCAGTCAGCGGTGACGAAGTCTCTGAAGAGGCTGAGGCTTGTTTGGACTCCGCAGCTCCGTAAGCATTTTGTGGATGTTGTGGCGCACTTAAGATTGAAGAACGCGGTGCCGAAGACGATTATGCTGGATGTTGAGGCACTGGTCTGGAAATAAGTACAATGGTTACTTGCACCATGCTACTCCAAATGATAAATAAATCTTTGCTGAGTCCACATTGGATAGTGGAAAAATAGGTGAGCAATTTTCATGCTAATATGCTTCTAGTTTACCATAAATGTTTCAACTCTTGCAGTGACTGTTTACGATTTTACTTTGCTGATATTGTGGGAAAAATAGTGAGTGGTACTGGATTCAATTCATTGGAAATGTGACTAGGTTAACTACAACTAGGCACTTGTTTCTGATTTGCGGTTCTAGATGAATAAATAGTTGTGTTCATCTAATATAATTCTTTTGCAAATGTTCAGATGTACCTAAGAGGAGGGATAAAAAGAATTAAACATGACAATTAGCGATAAACGGTGTGAACAAATTATCTTATTTTTGCTTCATTCAGGATGTGCTCTACTTTGACAAACACATGCCTCTTTCTTTCCGTGAAGTACAAATTTGGTTTCATTTGATTTTGGTGTAATGATAGCTCTGGATCAAAGGGATTGGCCAAAAGGGCTTCATATATTTCCATTCCTGCTGATTTTTTTACTGGCATGTCTTCTTTGATATCTGTTGAGATTGATAATAATCCATTTTCTGCTTGGGAAATCCCGGAAACCCTTGGAAATGCTTCTACACTTCAGAATTTTTTGGCTAATCCCGCAAATATATATTACTGGAAAAATTCCAGCATTTTTAAAAGGTAATGAGTTTCCTGGTTTAACAAACTTGCATTTGGCTCTCAATAACTTGGAAGGAGAGTTGCCATCAACTTTTTTGGGTTCCCAGATCGAGTCTCTGTGGTTAAATATGTAGAAACTTGGTGGAGAGATTGGTGTTATGCAAAATATGATATATTTGAAGGAGGTTTGGCTTCAGGTAATGGATTTTCTGGTCCATTGTCTGATTTTTCGGGCTTGAAGAATTTGGAGAGCTTGAATTTGAGGGACAATTCATTTACAGGGCCTATTCCCTTGTCTTTGGTAAATCTTGATTTCTTAAAGATTGTTAATTTGACTAATAATTTTCTGTTTCATCATTTGCAGGTCCAGCTCCGCTTCATGCCATTAGAGTATTATTCGGAAGCTTGGTGTTGCAAGCGTGACAATAAGTTATTCATGCCTAAGTAGTGCCAAAATTTTATTTCTAATTTTATCTCATTTTGAAGCTCCTTTTTATTTA